CGATTCATTTTTAATACATTTAGAAATTATTCTATTTTTAACAAATGTGTTGCTTAACAATTACCATAGGGTGTAAGGTAAGTTTACTGAAGTTGATAATTATAACTACTATTTAATGCAACAGAAAAAATGTATACTTTACGCATTATCGTTGGTTATGAATTAAGTATAAAAGAATCATTTTTAAAGCCAATCTTTGCTCGTATTATTTAGTTGTCTTAGAAGTTCATACTCATCTAAATCTACTGATTGATATTCCACCACAGCGTCTGCAATTTACTTCTGTGGAAAAGCTGTTGTCCAAGCGACAATAATAATGAACTAGCGGCCGACCCTCAGAACAATGGACTGAGGAGGACGGCCAGCAGGTAGGCTACCGAGCAGCCCAGCCCTACTAGGGGTAGCGTTTCAGGGAGGGACGATTCCGGGGTGTACATAGGGGATGCCTTGCCGGGGGAGACCTTTCCGTTTCTACTTGTTTGAATTAAAATTAATAACATAATTAGTTCGTATCAACTAGACTTTGATAAATTACTTGTCAAGCCCTTGGGGGGGTGCGATTCCGGTCGCGGACATAGATTTTATACCAGCTGGTTGTCTGGTTTCGTGACGTCACGTTTAGCCTGGGGGGTGATGTTTCCGGGGGCGACCATTCCGGCGACCCGAACTAGACACGAAAAACTAGCTTCAAAATTTACAATGGGGTGAGAAGCCTACTTGAACACATACCTCAGGTATGTGTCACAATTTCATTTTCTTTTCTTTTTTTTGCCATAGCTGCATGGTTTGCTGCTTTGTTTGCTGTGTGAGATTAACCAACTTCAGCATGGTTTGTAATGGTTTCATTTATTTATATGAATTGGTTTGTCTTATTTTTAGCATAGTTTTGACGTTACCTACCTATTGTATTTATTGCTGAATGGTATAGTTAATATCTTGAATCTCTTGAATCTCTACTTGTGTTGGTTAGTCTATGAATCTTAGAAAAAAACGAAGAAGAAAACCACTTTTACTATCCATTTGTTACACAACTGATTAACTTTAATTTTAGAAAAAATAATTTCTTTTGCAATCGATTCTGGTCTATTACTCTCTTTGATACGTGATAAGCCACCAGGGTCAACAACCCTTGATAACTATTTTGAACCAACACGAACCCCTGTATTTAAAAATAGAAAAACAAAATTTATCTCCTACAATTCCAATCACTGTTACAAAATCCTTCATAGTAGGACTATAAAAATTAAATAAATCCCTCCAAACGAAGGCTAGCTGATTTAGAAAAGGAAACGTTTAACACAAACATGAAAAAAATTAATAATGTAACTATTTCAAGAGCTAATCCAGCTTATCCAACATATCCTTTTGAGATCGTAATTTCATTTATTGATTCGCAAACGTAGGTTATTGAACAGCTAAACTAGGTTCACGATGTATTAAACATTTTTCGTAGGTTTGTTTACATCCATAATCATTTAATGATGCCCTGATGCTAAAAAAAGTTAGTCCTAATAGTTGATCAATTAGCCTAATCCCTATTTAGCAACAAACTACCCTCGCCACAGCAAACCATTTAAATAAAATATGACCTAATTAATTGATTCCCTATTTAAAAATACAGGTTTAATGAACACTTAGGTTTGCTGATACAATTTTAATAGCTGTGTATGAATTTCACATTATTTAACAACACAATACAATCACTGAAATCAGAAACGCTGTCTTAACAGAATTTAAGCTGTTTTAATAATGCCACAATGGCAAGCTTTTAGCGAATTTCCCTATAGGGAAGTAGCTATTACCGTAGGTCTCATGGTAAGACCTAAGCCCGGGACCGATTTACTTTTTCATTTTGATGTCCCCAGAGGCCAAAAACACCATTCGTTCAAATTTTTATATATCTATATATAGATATATATATATATATATATATATGTGTGTGTGTCCATCCGCACGATAACTTGAGTAATTTTTGTCCGATTTTGATGAAATTTGGTTTGAAGGTGTAAGGCGGGATAAACTTGAATGAGTTCGCGAACCAGCATGATCGGACTATGGGAACGGGGGTTTATGGGGTAAAAATGGGTTTTTCCCTTTTTTGACCCTAAAAACACAAAATTTCACAATTTCTCTTTAAACCATTTTGTAGAGCTTAAAAAAACAAATAATTTAGTATATTGAAGCGTTATAATGCGCCTAATTGTTACGGAGAAAATTCAAAAAAAATTGTAATTTTAAAATTCTTATGTTATTCTTATGGAGAATAAGTCAACTGTTGTAGTTTGCTTGTTTATGAACATAATTTTGATCAAATTTGGAAAATACATTAATTTCTTACTAAACCACAGTAGGCCTACCTTTTAACATTTTACATAAAAAAAAAACATTTTACCCTCCCTGTTGCAGCAAACCTAAGTACTCATTAAACTACAGTAATTCTGTTTAAACAGGGAATAGGCTAAATGTGATATTTTTAAGGAGACATTTTAGTTTAAATCCAATCAGGCAAATGGAAATTCGCTAAGTCTGCAGGTTTGCTGCGGCGGGGGTATTTATTTATACAGTACACAATATTTCTCACACTTAAAGTGAAAAAGTCTTGTAAATGACCAACGATCAGTGGCAGTACTGAATTACATACTGCTGCAGTGACGGTACACCACGCAATAGCTGCATGTAAATGAGACCAGGGAGTCGTGTATCAAAATATTCCGTCTACTTATACTTATAGTGAGCTGTTTAGTGAGTAGTGACGGTATAAAAATTAAGAATAGATTAAAATTGAAGAATGTTTTGAGTAAACACAAAAATAACTGAGTTTCGTTCACTTTGAAACTTACTGCAAGTTATGACGATATAGGCCTACTGTACCGGCAGCAAAAAGTTAGTAAAGAAAAATTAGCGAAAATTAAATTAATTAGATTCACTGCATCTAACAAGATGATTACCGGTAAATAGCAGTCAATTGTCAATTGGTAGTCCATATAGTCAATTGGCTGAAAATACCTTTTTTAACGACAGTATTCAATTACGGTGCATAGAATTCAACTACTGTATGTGAAAGGATACCAAACATAAATATATTTGATTTTTATAACCTAAATAGCACTATTAAAACATAAAGCTGAAATCGTTTACGACTAGTTCTGACACTACACATTAGGGAATAATGGACTAACTAAGGTAATTAAAAATATTATAGGTGATGATTGAGGCTTAAAAGTAGGTTTACAGTTTTATAATTTGTACAAAGTATGATTGCTGCCCGTTGATTTTTTTATTGCCTATTTACTTTTATGTACTTACAAGCATACTTACAATGTCTTACTTACATGTCATACTTACAAGCAAGTAAGTATGTAGGGCGCAATACATTAATTAAGTCAACTAGACTTATTTTATAGATTTAATATTATTTATTTTTCTATTGATGTCACATTTATGTAATTTGTTATTGACTATTTGTTTAAATCTAGTGTCATTATGTTGGCATTGCTGGAATAAAGATTCATTCGTTTTATAGCCCTCCCTTATTTTAATTGTTAATTATTTTATTTTGATAACTGTTCACCTAAATATACTTGTTTTTGCATGTAATCTCGAAAGTATGTTCCATTGTGTTGTATATTGGTAGCCTAACGGTAACAGTAGTAAATAAGTAACTTTACATGAACAAATTGATTTTACCATTACCGCTAGTGTACTATAATTAACTACTTGATGTAAAATTATACATTTCAGATGGGGAACATAGTGCACTGACAGAATAAAATTAGTATTTAAAGAATGTCATCATAGCTTATTGTAGTGTCTGAGGAAGAACGGTAGATAACCTGATGACCTACATTGCCTACCAAAGACACAGAAAAATTAATATTAATGGGACATGTATATTCTCGTTTTCTTCTGGAAGTAGGCATTTGGAATGTGATAAGTTATACCATTAGTCCTTTAGGGCATTTCGTCGTTATGCCTTACACTACACTCAAATTGTCTTCCCCAGGACTAAGTACTGTGCAGGTATAATCTAAGTTACTCATAGGTATTGTTTAAATGAAATTTTAAGAACAGAAAGTTTCACAAAAATATGAAACCCAATATGTAATGAATTTGATAAATTTATGATTTAATATTCTCTTTAATATTCTGTTAAATTTATGAATATGCACATTATGAATTTAGCCAAGTAAAATAGTAATTTCTTTACTAAAACATTACAAAAAAATTAACTCTAGCCACTCTTTTGGTCGATGACCCCTATTTTATAAATATTTCCCTCCCACTCCCCACTAAGTATGAAAATATTAGTGGGAAACCCCACTTTAACCCCCAAGTTAGATCAAAATTTATTTGTAGTCTTTCCAGAAAAGGTTTTCAGTTATTACTTAACTCAATATAAGGGAAAATTCCATAGGAAAAGGGCATTTTGTCAATGAATATGAATAAATTTACTTAAGTCAACCACTTTTGATAGAAAGGGTTTCATATAAATCACCATTAAAATTAAGTTACCGTAGGTTTATGAAATTATCTTGTGGCCTCGTATGTACCTAGGACCTAACTTAAATGTTAAACTGTTAATATTCAAATAACTAAATTAAACTTAAAGGTGTGAAGTTTATTTTTGTCCCTGAACAAAATCCCTACTCAACCTACTTCTCCTAACGTATTGGGTCAATTGAGAATGGTACCTGAGTGTGTAGTGGATTTCTTATATTAATCTGCCTAGGCCTATGCTCACCAAGGTTAACCACCGTCATAACAATGTTAACTATATTTAGCCTAAAAAGAGTTATGAATGGGTCCACGCCCTACATTCACATATGGGGCATAAAACTGAAAAAGTAACTGTTTGTAAGGCTAGGCCTGATGAAGTTTACTGTCAACAACAGATTAATTTGTCTCCAAATCCCTCAATATCAGATGTTTCTAATTTAACCTAAAAGCTACTCTCGTCTCATAACACAATTATTTGAACAGAAACATAATATTGAACTCACCTTTATTTCTGCGCTGATAATCCATTAAATACTATCCCCCATTGACAGATTAACCAGGATCCTACAGCATTGCAGCACTGCTATTCCAAGGGTTAAGATTTAAGTATAACGATTTTCTGACACACTCGCACGTAAAACGAACTTCAGACACTGAACCATACCTTCCGAATACCGCACAACCTAGATACACAATCCAGAAACGATATAGCACACATAAAATCACTACATCATAACAAAACCTGAAAGCTTTTCACACCCCTCACACACACAGACATCACTTCTACACTACAGCTGCCAGCAACAGCAATGGAATGCTGAGCTGCCTGCCACCTGGCGGAACGATTCGGAACTTCGAACAGTTGAGTTTCGACCAATGGCCGCGCAGCAGCAGTGTAGTGGCGCGGAAAACTCAAAAATGTTTTAGTTTCGTATTAGTTTTCGTCTAGTCTAAAACAATATTTTACTGGGGTCAAATAAATCCCTAAAATGTTTCATAATTTGTTTTTGTAGCTCAATCCGAGTTCCAAGACATAAGACATAAGATCGATTTATTTCCTTTAAAACTTACAATCATATCATAAGTAAGTCATTGGAAAACGTCAATTTTTAGTAGGTACATACATTATAATATATAGAAGTACAGTAGACTCACTCTTACCCGACCATCTTTTACCCGGACTACACTCTGCAGAAGAAACGACTCTTTAACAGGACAATTTGTAAAAGCACATTGGTTTAACCGGACTGGATCGACAGGAATTGGGTGGTACGTGGTACTTGAACAACCTTTTTCATGAGGAAGATTTTAGACCAACAATCACTGTCTAAATACAATGCTATATCAAATTTTTAAGTTTAATATTTGTGTTCGTTTTCGAGTGATTCCCGTGGCGAACACATGTATAGTCTGGGGTTGGTCTTATGTGATCGTTGAGTCTGGTATAGTTGGCGTCGTCACTTTACGCGATTCCCTTACTTGAGATATCAAGGACGAAATGAAATTCAGAAATAACCTAATTTAAGTTTTAATACAACACCAAACTGAGCTTGTGTTCTTGTGTTATCTCCATAAGGGTAAAAACACAGTGGAGCAGGGCAGGTAGCTGGTAGCCTGGCTGGTCGCTTACTCGCTTACTGCTGGTTACCTGGAGGGTAGCTGGGACATACACACAGTGGCGCTCAGTACAGTCGCTTGTCAGCCGCCGATACTAATATTATCATTTTTAATATTAGTGGTACATGATAAACTTTTGTTTGAATCCTAGTTCATTCGCTATTTCATTCTACAGATCGTCGAGTACGTGACGTTTGTGGTGGTCCGGATGGACTTGTTTCCACAATGGCACGCAGATAATAACCTCTGATATTAATTTGTCTACGTCCATTATTTTATTTCATGTAAACAAAACAACTTCCAAATAAATCAACTAAAACAAACAACACATCGTATACAAAGAATGCGCAGTGAAAGGTCCCGCGTGGAACTTGCAAACTCGAGAACACGTGGCTGTCAAGTTCTGCTATTTGCGCATGCCCCAGTTGAGCCTTCCCCGCTTGAAGCTCCCAAACAATCGACTTGGCAATTCTTCTAGCTTGCCGCCTAGCTTACTGCTACCCTCTCGGCTACCTGCTAGGCGCGACTGTGTGCGTACCCATAACAACGCGTGCTTTAATTCTACATCGCAGTAAGCGATTAAGCGACCCGCCAGGCTACCAGCTACCTGCCCTGCTCCACTGTGTTTTTACCCTGGCACAGTGCCCCACTACCCACTGCTCCGGCGAAACCGCCGATCCGGCTGTCCGGCGAGGTAGAGAATATCCGGCGGTTTCGCCAGAGCATTTTCCCGCCGGATCGGCAAATTCACCGAACCGGAGAAGTGTGGCCTGCCCCATGCCTTCCTGTGTATCTCAACTTGCTCCGGCGCCGCCGGATCTGGCGTCCGGCGGTTTCGCCGGTAAGTGTGTCCCTGGCCTTACAAATCCAAACAACAAACTAAACTTTATTTACATTTTGAAACAAATCAACATCCCACTTACCTAGGAGGCTGCAATTTGGTACACTGATTCTTTAGGCATTAAATAGGAAAACTAAGTGGTTTTTATTCTGATCGGACTCTCGGGCTCCGCCCCAGTGGCTCTGGAGTTTCCCATGTTAACCTAATTAGTACTCATATTTAAATGGAATTAATGAATCTTAACAGCTGTTTCAATTAAACAAGTTGGTTCTGTTCTATGATGTTCAATAGCATTAAAGTAACAAGGATTACCAACAGAGTGCAGCACTATTATTTTTTTTTTATTTGACAACAGCTAATTTTAAATCAAAAGGTGAGTGAGCGTAGCGAACAAACTTCTACCCGGAGGCGAGATAGCGTAGTGAATGAGCTAACCTGAAGGCAAGTGAGCGCAGCGAACGAGCTCCAACCATAAAGGTGAGTGAGCGTAGCGTACGAACTTCAACCAGGACGTGATTGAGCCATGCGAACGAGCTCACATATGAAGTTAAACGGGGCAAAGCCCACGTTTAAATATAGATTGAAGTTTTAACCAATGACGGCGGTGACACACTATCGATATTTTCCCCAATCAAGACCCCGAACCGAGCAGGGACCCCCATGATGCTCCTGTTTACTGGTCCCGGTAGATTGGAATTTTGGTTTTCACGGCGAAACACTTTTACTACAAGTGCCAATTGCCTGGAACTGCAACTCACTGTAGTTTCACGGCCATCTGCAGTTCCAGTTCGTCTAGCCGCTGCTATAGTTCGGCCGCTTAGAAAACGACCTGCGCGCTAATGCTAAACCAATGCTGGAGGAGGTCGCTTTCTAAGCGGCCGAACTATAGTTGTCAGTTGTCACTAACTTAAGGCCCGTTTTGCCAGAAGCGTCTCGTGCGTCTATCGCTCAGCGATTATCGCTCCGCGTCTACCGCTGCCCACTGCTTTGCGTTGTTTTAGGTTAGTTTATTTTGCCAGAAGCGTCTATCGCTACAGCCGCTAGCGTCTGACGCGGACCACTGCTCCTGGAGCACAAGACAGCAGACGGAGACGCAGTCGCTAGCGATTATTACTGGAATAAGCACGTGTTTAGTTGTTGACTTAAAGTGTGCCGCAGTTCGCCAAATTACTGCTAGGTGTCACTAGCTAAAGTGCGCCGCAGTTCGCCATCTCGCCGCTAGAGTGTACTAGTGTGTAGCAGTTTACCTAGTAACCGCTAGGTGTCACTAGTACAAAGAACATGGAAGTTTATTTATTTATTTGCAATCTTAAATTATTCAGGCACAATAAACCAATTTAGCGATGACAAAAGAAAACTACAATTGATAAACTACATTTTTAAAGGACAATATTGCTATATAAAACTGTAGAAGTTTACTATGAATCCACAGTATCCACCGACACTCGCAGGGAGTTTGGAGTATCTAGTAAATGACTACCGCGCTTGGCTTTGGATTGTATTGTATTATGTGATGGGTATAATTACCAGTACTCTTTGAGAAGCCGAGAGTCGTGTCCCCCATGGGACCGATGATTGGCTTATAAGAAATATAACGTCTCAGATGAGACTGTGACTGTAGGTAGACTAGTGATAATGGGAGAATCGTATACAGTGAATTCGTAGCCTCCCCTCCCCCCTGTATTCTATTCGAACACCTTTGAGTATACAAAGGATGTAAAATGAGTGTGTGATTCTTTTTTCATAATGCAATCCGTTCTTTTAGCCACTGTTATTTCGTTTAACACTAATTAATTCATTTCATTCAAAGTTATTTTAAATTATATGAGTTTATATAAATTATAAAGTACATTTATTTTGACAGATAATTACATATGGTCAGTTACAGTTCTTATTAAGACGGTGACACACTATCGATCTTTTCCCCGAACCGAGCAGGGAGAAGGGAGGTCGAAGGGAGCATGTTCGATAGTGTGTCAGGGGTCCGTACACCGATCCAGACGGTGAAACAGACATCAGGCCGAGCAGGGAGGCGAGCGCTCTGGAGGCGGTTTTTTGGCGAAAGATCAAAGAAAAGATCGGTCCGATGTACGGAGTGATGTACGATAGTGTGTCACGGTACATTTTTGCCCCGTACGCCGTCGCGAGAGCCGCACCGAGCGGTCGCCTGTGCTAGCGCTGAGTTATAATTTAATATGGCAATTAGACCCTTTAATTGGTAAAATAAATAAATGTTGGGTAATATGTTGCCGTTATATATGATGATCATTTAAGATGTAATGCTGTGGTTTGTTTGGTGAAGGTTGAAAATGTAGAAACCGATAAATCAATTATATCAATTATAAAGCGAATTAAGTATTGATGTTGTCTTAAATTCTTTCAAAATCAATATAAACATTAATATTATTTAAGGCAATTAAAATGATCATTCTGTAACGTTATTTCAATGAATAAAACAAATAAAAATCAATACATATAACTAAGCACCCTTTCTAGAATATTTTATTTTTGCGACAAGTTTTCAAAAAGCTACTTTTAACGCGCTCTCACTCGCACACACTCTCCATCTCTCTCTAAACTCCCTTTTTCCGCGCTCGGTAGAATTCGTCTGGCGTTGGACTTGTTCGGGGAAATGTTCGGAGTGAAATTTTGCTGATATTTATCTCCCTTCTCCCTTCTCCCTGCTCGGTTCGGGGTCTTGATCGGGGAAAAGATCGATAGTGTGTCACCTTATTGACCAAACTCGACCTATGCTGCTATTTAAGAATTGTGTCTGACTTCTCATGGGCCGTCCCCTTATGGGATGAAAAAATTATAATAGCTTAAATACCCCCGTCGCAGCAAACCTGCATACTAAGCGAATTTCCATTTACCCGGCTTGATTTCTACTAAAACATTCCCTAAAGATTTTCAGATTTATTTCCTATTTAAATAACATGAATTTTAGTGAGTAGTTAGGTTTGCTGCTACGGGGAAGATATTGAGATGTGTTTTTTTATTGAAATATTGATAGCTTAGTATGAAATAAACCAAATTGCCAAATTTGATTAAAATATATCCATAAACAAGCAAACTACAACAGTTTAGTTATTCTCCATAAAAATAACATGGCAATTTTAAATTTAAAATTTTTTTAATTTTCTCCGTAGGCCTAGTCAATGAACATTCAAAAACACTTCAATATACTAAATTATTTGTTTTTTAACTCTTCAAAATGGTCTAGAGAAAAATTTTGAAATTTAAAGTTTTTAGGGTCAAAATGGGAAAAATATAAAACCTCCCCCCCATAAACCCCTGTTGCCA